TAAAGGGTTCTTTGAAGAACCTCTACGAGTTCTCCACCAGCGTCAACACGAAGAACCCTTGAAGATTTTTTGAAGAACCATTCGGGTTTAGAGTGTAGATACGATATAAATGAAATGATTATTATTAGATTTTAGCAGCCGTGGCACTTAAACGGCTCGAAGCCGTTTTTTATTTATTTGAAGACATTTGCTAATTTGAAAACATTAAATGTTGTGAAGCGCTTTAAAATCTATTGTTTGTTTACCTGTTAAAAATAGAACTAAATTTATATGAGTAAAAATTTATGCAGAACTTCTTTTTTGAAACTCTTTACAATTAATTTCTTTTGTTTTTAATTTAAATTTAAAAGTATTATCACTATTTTTACTTTGTAAAACTTAATGGCCATGAATAAATTCGCAATGGCCATGTTTTGGATCTCTGGCCATGATTTGATGTTTTTCACGCCTTCTAATATTTGTGCTAAAACTTATTAACAAAAGCTTCCAAACTTGTCATAAATTGTATCTCAAGAGGTTTTTTAAGAGTTTAGAAATATTTTTAAGAATCTAAGCGATTCGCGGTAACATGAAGCAGTTTAAAATTAAGCGGCCATGATTTGATGGTTTTACCCTAAAAAAGTTTATTTAAAATTAGAGATCGTTATTTTAAGCATTATATAGTGCATTTTTGGTACTTAAATCATTTTTAAACATTGCTCATTGTTAGTTTTGTTTATTGTTATTCTGTATTTTTATTAAATAGCACCGTTATTTAAGGTAAATTTAATAACACTTCAATGTCATTTAGAAAACAAAATTGTCGGAAATAGTGCAAAACCGCGTAACTAGCATTGGATTATACCGCGTATCTAAAATACATTTTTTTTACAGAAGAAATTTATTCATATTTTTTGTAATCTCAACAATAAATATTTGGTGTTAAAATTAATAATATCCGAATAGCCAATGCTAGTAATGCGGATTTTCCGAAATTTTAACTATTGTTTTTATCTCGCTCGCTTTTTAAGCTTTTATCTACCTTGCAATTAAAAATACGCAAATATAAATAATCGTTCCTAATGGGATATGATCTAAACACAACCGCCTAATCGAAGGTCACGCCATTATTTGCGTAAACATACTCTTTTAAATATTGCCGTGCTGTACGTTTAAAAAAAGTTTTTTTTATCACGTTAAAAAAACGTTTTAAAATCGTTTATATGCTAACTGAGAAATTTCGTAAGTTAATAAAAAAAATAAAACGTTTAAAAAACGCTAAAAAAACGTTTAAATTAACATTAAAAAAAACTTTTGCAAAAAAACGTTTTAAAAACGATTGTATTGGTTCTTTTAACGTCCGACCGTAAATTGAACGGAATTAAAACGTTTTAAAAATGTCCTGTGCTTACTGGGGCATGAAATCCATTATTTCAATATTATCAAATTTATAAATCTATGGAACAATCTTTCTTCTCTAACCCTAAATATAAGAAAAACTGTAATATATAGTAAAATACTTATTGTGGCTATACCAAAAATTAGCATTGGCACATTCAAGTATTTTACTGTCTATTAGTTTTTCTCTGATTTAGGGTTAGACCAGTAAAGTTGTTAAATTATTAAATTTATGTATTTTAAATTTATTTATATACGTAGTTTTGTTAATACTTTGTAAAATTTAATTATTGTAAGTTTGTTTAGATTTTGAATATTGTGTGTTGCATCTCCTAAATAAGATAAAAACCCAAGGATCCAAATAACCTAATATAAAATAGTGTGAGCAAGAAGTAGTAACTGAAATGAACAGTTTAATAGAACTTGATAAGTATGACTCAGCACTTGATAATGTTTCCTCTTGTAACTCTCTAGTAACTCTGCAGTTAAAAATTGCTAAATACTGTTTAGACAAATTTTTTCTTTTTCAAAAATTTTCTTTAAAATATATAATTTTTACTACTTAATTAGGAATTGTCAGTTTTTCCATATTCTCTTTCTATTAAAAACAAAGTGTTCAAAATATTGGTGTCAAGAATTGTCAAAAACTTGTGATAGCTATGATGAAGAAGTTAGTAAATTAAAAGTGCATTCCTATAAATACTCTGTTCAAGTTTATAATGATATTACTCCTATCTTACAATCCATAATACAAATCACATGCATGGCTCTACCTAAGGTGTTTTACCATAATGGGACGAATGAATAACTGTGAATTTCATAAGTGTGAACTGGCGTAAGTACGAATTCGCATAAATGCAAACTAGTACATGTGCGAAGCAATAACAAAAATAGATACATGGCCAAATGGCATAAGTGCAAATGGGTAAAAATGCGCAAAAAGAATTTCCAAACATTGGCATAAGTGCAAACTGGCATAAGTGTGAACTGGCATAAGTGCGAATTGGCATATGTGCGTCGAACAAATTTGCAAACATTGACATAATTGCGAATTGGCATAAGTGCAAAGCAGTTATTGAAACAGTTACAGAAACTGGTATAAGTGCAAACAAGCATATGTGCTAATCGGCATAAGTGTGCTAAATAGATTTAAAACATTCTCATAAGTGTGAATTGCCATAAGTGGTAACTGGTATAAGTATGAAGCAGTTGCAAAAACTTGCACAAAAAAAAAGTGCAAACAATATAAATGCGAACTGGCATAAGTGTACCGAATAAATTTGCGAGCATTGGCATAAGGGCAAACAGGCATAACTGCAAACTAGCATAAAAGCATAATGCCAATTAGCACTTATGCCAATGTTTGCAAATTTATTACGCGCACTTATGTCAATTCGCACTTCTGACAAATTTTGTAACTGTTTTGTACTTATTCAAAATTTGCATTTATGCTTATTCATAATGTTTGAAAACTTGTTAGCGCACTTATGTTATTATCTGTGTATTTGTATGTGTATGTGTGTATATACATATATATATATATATATATATATATATATATATATATATATATATATATATATATATATATATATATATATATATATATATATATATATGTATATATATATATATATATATATATATATATATATATATATATATATATATATAACATACTTTTTATTTGTGCGTATTATGAAATTATATATTTATTTTTAAAACATATATTTGTAATTTAAAAACTTATTACTATTATTATTTTTATACTATTATATTATTATTATACTATATTACTATTATTGCTGTTCAGATTGTCTGTTGTAAATATATAGTTTATTATTTTAGTTTGTGCATCGACTGCTCACTAATCATAAACAGAGTCGATTGTCGATGCAATAATTACTGATTCGTTAAAACTGGCAACTTCTACTTGTGTTTAAGTTCCTTAAATCCAACAGATATCATCGTTACGGTATTAATTTGTTTGTAAATTGTTTTCGAAAATAAATTTAAAAATAACTCTTAATTAAATTTTTTATTTTTCTTGTTTTTTTAACCAACAGGTTCTTTTAAACAATTTAATAATAGTTTCTATGGACTTAGGAATATTTTCTGGAAAAAACCGTCTCTTAAACGTTCAAAAGACGTTTTTTTATGGTTAAATATTGGTTTTTTAAGAACGTTTTTTAAACGTTTTATTTTAGAACTTTTTTAAACAACTTTTTTAGAACGTTTTTTAAACGCTTTTTTAAAAACGTTTTTTAGGTATTGCCATTTCGAACGTTTAAAAAAAGTTTTATTTATTAGGTAAAAAAAACGTTTTAAAAACGTTCATGTGCTTACTGGGTACGTGAATAAAAAATTCACCCGGCCATGTAACACACATTACTGGAAAAAAGCATAAGAAAGTTGATTAAATGGATAATATTACCAACATACTTCCCGAATTACCAATGTTGTTACCCAGTAAGCACAGGACGTTTTTAAAACATTTTAATTCCGTTCAATTTACGGTCGGACGTTAAAAGAACCAATACAACTGTTTTTAAAACGTATTTTTGGAAACGTTTTTTTTAATGTTAATTTAAACGTTTTTTTTTAGCGTTTTTAAGCGTTTTATTTTTTTTTTTAACTTACGAAATATCTTATCTAGTAAGCACAGAACGTTTTTAAAACGTTTAAAAAACCTATTAAAACGATTTTTAACGTTTTTTAAACGTTTTAAAAACGATCTGTGCTTACTGGGTAGTTGGCTTATAAACGTTTTTAAAACGTTTTTTCAACATAATAAATAAACGTTTTTTGAATGCACACGGCAATATTTAAAAGAGTAAGTATATTTACGCAAATAATGGCGTGACCTTCGATTAGACGAATTGATTAATTTAAGTAAAAATTATATAAATTAACATATCTTTAAATTAACTAAGTGTTTGTATTGCTTTTTTGTAGAATTAAATTTGAAAATATACTGGAGTATTTTTAGTTTAAAGTTGTATGCCTTATATGATTAATAAAGTTTTTATGGTGTGGTTAACTAGATTATTTTACTCTATTAAATAACTTAAATTAAGTACCTAATAGGTACGCGGAAAAATACGTTTTATGTTGTTCCCTTTTCTCAAATCCAAAAGAACAAAAATTACTCAAGTTTACTCAACAATTAAGACTTAATTGTTGAGTAAACTTGATTGCTGAAAAAACTAGATTAAGTTTTCAATTCTACTTAATTATCAGCTGCTTTTAATGCAAAATAATTCTTTTGGATTTGAAAGAAAGAGAACAACATTCTCAGAGTTTTTGTTCTTTACCTTTAAAAATAAAAAAATGATAATATCAGTGGTTTTTATATAAGGCTGAAAGGAAAAAATACGATGATTTGTTTTAAGAAAGTGAGTGACTTACTTCAAAATGTCATTTTAAGATTTTTATTTTTTAATGATATTCTGATGTTATTACCAAATATTTGGCAGTATGAAACCTATAATATTATATACCATACTATATACCCTATTTTACTTATAAAGTTATTAATCTGTAAAGTAATTTATAAAAAATATTTAATGGTAAAATTGCTACATGAGAAGACAAGTTAGTTGTTAGTTGAAACTCGATTATTCTCTATACTTGTGTTCTTTAGGTCAAATTATAATAAATAAAGATGATATTGATTGTGATGACCAAGAGATTCATTTTAAGACACATCAATCTTCATCATCTTTAAATAAGAAAGATAAACATGATGATCTCAAGCAAGTAAGTCTTTAGTTAAAAATAATGTAATTTTTGTTGTAAAATGCTAACATGACTGTCAATATTAAAAACATGATTGAAGCAATGAGTTTCCAATTTTAACTTTAAATAATCACCTTCATGAAATCCATTATTTCAATATTATCAAAACTATAAGTCTATGGAACAATCATACTTTTCTAACCCGAAATCTGAGAAAAACGCTAATATATATAATATAGAATTGCCACTATCAAGTATCTTACTGTCTATTAGTTTTTCTCTGAAAAAGGGTTAACTAGTAAAGTTGTTAAATTATTACATTTATATATTTTAAATTTATTTATTAACATAGTTTTGTTAAGGCTATGTAAAAATTATTTATTGTAAATTTGTTTAGACTTTCAATATTGTGTGTTGCTTCTCTTAAATAAGATAAACCCAAGGATGCAAAAAACTTAATATAAAATAGTGTAAACAAGAAGTAGTAACTGAAATGAACAGCCTAATAGAATTTGATAAGTTTGACTCAGCACTTGATAATGTTTCATCTAGTAACTCTGTAGTAAGTCTGCAGCTGTAAATTGCTAAATACTGATTTGACAGATTTTTTTTTTTTTTAAAAAAGAAAAATTCATACTACTTAACTAGGAATTGTCAGTTTTTCCATTATTTCTTTTATAAACTAAGAGTTCAAAACATTGGTGGTAAGAACTGTCAAAAACTTGTAATAGCAATGATGAAGAGGTTAGTAAATTAAAAATGCATTCCTATAAATACTCTGTTTAATTTTATGATATTGCTCCCATCCTACAATCCATAATACAAATCCCATGCATGGCTCTACGTAAGCCGTTTTACCATAATGAGATGACTGAATAACTGTGAATTTTATACGTGCAAACTAGCACATGTGTGAATCAGTTACAAAAACTGGCACAATACCAAATGGCATAAATGCAAACGGGCATAACTGCGCAAAAAGAATTCCAAACATTGGCATAATTGCAAATTGCTATAAGTGCAAACTGGCATAAGTATGAACTGGCATAACTGCAAAGCAGTTATTGAAATAGTTACAGAAACTGGCATATGTGTAAAGTGCAAATTGCATATGTGTAAAATGGTATAAGTGAGCTAAATAGATTTACAAACATTCGCATAAGTGCGAATTGCCATAAGTGGGAACAGGTATAAGTGTGAAGCAGTTGCAAAAACTGGGAAAAGTGCAAACAACATAAATGCGAACTGGAATATGTGTGCCAAGTTAATTTAAAATATTTTGCATATATGGAAACTGGCATAACTGCAAACTAGCATAAGGGCGAAATGCCAATTAGCACTTAGGCCAATGTTTGCAAATTTATTACACGCACATATGTCAGTTCGTACTTCTGCCAGTTTTTGTAACTTTTTTGTACTTAATCAAATTTTGCACCTTTGCCTATTCGTAATGTTTGCAAACCTGTTTGGTGCACTAATGCCAATTTACACTTTTTCCAGTTAGCAAGTTTAAAGCTATAGGTTATCCTATAGCTTTAAACTTTAGCCCGGATAACTCCTTTAGCCCAGACAATATTCATATATATGACTACACTAATGGTTAGTGTACACTAATGATCTGGACTACATTAATGGTTAGTGTGCTATTTTTTAAATAATAATAATATTTAATATATAAATTGTATCACTAAATTAAAATCTAAATATTTAATTGCATTTAGATTTTATGAAGAAAAAGAAAAACGTTTTCAAATACAGTAGTAAATTATAATTTCATAAATTATAAGATATAATATTAAATTATGGTATTTTTAGTATGATGACAAATTTAATCATGGCCAAATATAATATGGCAGTTGGAAAAGGCAAAGGATCTTTTTAGTCTAACCAAGCTATACAACTTAATAAAAGGTACGTTTATATATATATATATATATATATATATATATATATATATATATATATATATATATATATATATATATATATATATATATATATATATATATATATATATATATATGTATATATATATATATATGTATATATATATATATATATATATATATATATATATATATATATATATATATATACATATATATATATATATATATATATATATTATATATAATATATATATTATACAAATATATATATATGTATATATATTTATATGTATATATATATATATATATATATATATATATATATATATATATATATATATATATATATATATATATATATATATATATAAATATATCAGGGGCGGATCCAGCATTTTTTGGTGATTGAGATAGCTAACTTTCAGACATGGAGCACACTCCAAACATTTATATGTTTATACTTATATCAAATAAGGATGGTTTGCAAAAAATTGCGATGATTGGAGCCTGGGAACAAAAAAGCCCCAAAATTTGAGACGTACCTGCCCCAAACGTGAGAGCAACAAGTTAATAAAACATTTTTTGTACTATTCTCAACAAGACTTACATTTATCCATAAATTTTAAATTTTATTGTAAAATATATCATCGTTCAAAAATTATGACCATGTAAAGTTTGAATCCCCCTCAATTCGAGGGGGTTACAATTTTTATATGATCATAATTTTTGAGCGCTAAAATATTTTACAATGGAATTTAAAATTTATTGATAAATATAAGTCTTGTTGAGAATAGTACAAAAACTATTTTATCAACTTGTTGCTCTCAGGTTTGGGGCAGGTACATCTCAAATTTTGGGGCTTTTTTGTTCCCAGGCTCCAATCATCGCAATTTCTTGCAAACCATCCTTATTTGACATAAGTATAAACATATAAATGTTTGGAGTTAGCTACATGTCTGGAAGTTAGCTATCTCAAACACCAAAAAATGCTGGATCGACCCCTGTATATATATATATATATATATATATATATATATATATATATATAATATATATATATATATATATATATATATATATATATATATATATATATATATATATATATATATATATATATATATAACTTGTATTTCTAATTTACCGAATATTAACCTGTTTTCTTTTTTTCTCCTCTCCGAGCACTGTATATGTATGTATGTATATATATATATATATATATATATATATATATATATATATATATATATATATATATATATATATATATATATATATATATATATATATATATATATATATATATATATATATATATATATATAATATGGTCAGTGATTGCCGAAGGGCAATAATTAATTATAAAGCAAGCAGATTTTTTTTTTTTGTTTTCTTTGATTCTAAGGTTAATATGATTTAGAAATAAAATAAAAAACATTAGGACCAGTCAAGAATTTAAAATCCAAAGAGGAACCTTAAGATATCGTCAAAATCAAGAAACATTTTTTTTCTTTTTTCTTATGAATAATAGACATTGATTCATGTCTCAGGAAAATTTATTTTTTACTTTTTTTTTGTTATGAAAATCACTATACCCTTATATATATATTTTTTTAAATGAGTATTATTTTTTAAATTTTATATAATTTTGCTTCATTTTTCCTAAAATAATAATTAAGTTAATGACTATTTCTCTAAAAATCATTCTGTAAATAAAAACTCCAGTAATTTTTAAAACTAATAGTTATTTTTTTAGTAATCACCTGATAAACTGCAAACTCTGTTCTTTTAGATATGATTCTAATAGTTGAACATCTGTCAGATGTTTACCTTTTAAATCATAATCTAATTGCTCAGGCTATTTATAAAAATTCAACGCTTAAAAAATAATGTATGATTAAAGGTATTTCCTGTTATATTTGAACGGTACGTTGATGATTGGTTCGAGTCTTTAAAGTTTAAATTAGTTAAAAGAGAACTCAAATTGTTCTGTTTTTATCTTATGCTCTATATGTAAAAACTATTGAAATATTTATTGCATTATTTTTTATTTATTTTATTACCTTATGAAAGACCTACCAAGCTTGAAACTTTATAGGTTGAAATATATAGTATGTATATGTATATCATCCCTCGGAATTAGGAAAACTAAAGTTACCAAAAAAAGCTAAAAAGCTAGACGACTGAACTTATTTAAAACACTTTTAACAAGTTTAGTTACAAATTAATGTTATGTGTTTACAAACCTTCAACCAAATTAGTGTTTACATTTTAGCAAAATGTCATTTTGCCAGGCTGTTTGGTTGGAATAATCAAAAGCTTGATATTTTATTGAATTTTAGTTTGTGATATTATAATTTTTATTCACAAAATGTTAAATAATTTTTTTTTTAAGTTTATTCGTCATTGCTTTGGATAAGATGGTTTGTTATTGCTTTTACAGATTGTTATGAGGATTGCAAAAAAATTAAATTTTGGAAACTGAGAAGGAATTGATAACTAGAAGATAACAAAAAAGCGCAAAAGTACTGATTATACAACTCTTTTAAAGGTTTCATTTGTTAATGTTTATATATAAACTAATAATGAAAATAATAACATATAATTAATCCATAATTGTGCATCTAATTTTGTTAAAGCAAATAATATTATATATATATATATATATATATATATATATATATATATATATATATATATATATATATATATATATATATATATATATATATATATATATATATATATATATATATATATATATATATATATATATATATATATATATATATATATATATATTATAAATAATAGTTTTATTTAGTTTGTTCTAATTTTTATGTAAAAAATAAAGAAGCAAGTTTTAATTAGTAAATGATTAACCATATTTATGGTATAGTAAAATAGTTTTTATTTTTCAGTTGAGGAAGAATTTTATGTGGAATGTTAATGCAAAAGGTACGAATATTGACATGTTAGCTAATTTAATGTTACAATAAACATGAAATAAAGTTTGTGAAGATCTTAGTGCTAGAAATACTTGCATGCATTATTCATGCTATATTATAATAAAGCATGGATGCATTCAACTTTAAAAAAAAAGTTACAAATGTTTAATTATACAAAAAGATTATGGATGTGGTACTGTAAGTATATTCAATTGATTATGTAAGTAAGTCCTCCTTTACTTCTTTGAATACTAATAATAATTGTAATGAATATATCTCAAACAATATACACTCGTATTTTCATTTTATTTGAACCATCACCACTTCCACAGCCACCTTATCTCAAGCATTCAATTGCATTTTAAGATATCTTTATTCAAATCAAGTGTGACTACTATATCAAAAGACTGTAGAATGTACCAATCAAGTAAGATGTCTAAATTTATATTTTTTATATAGAACTCCTTTACTTTTAGATAAACCTGTTAATTTTATGACTTATGAACATATTTAGCAATGTAAGCCTTTTAGGATACACTTTTTAAAATCAAGTTTTAGTAAATTTTTATTTAAAACTTACTAAAACAATGTTTTAGTAAATTTTTATTTAAAATAACTTTCTATACATAATATATCTATTTAGTTATTTACATTGTAGCTAAACCATCAGTACTTGCAAAGTCTTTTTTTCTGTAGGCCCGAAAATTGAGTTCTAAAATACTATTATCCACATAACTACTATATCAAAGCACAAACTAATGGATTGATCAAGTAATACTTGATTTTTACCTTGAGTTGCGTGTTAGTACATATATGATTTTAATATATAAATTTTAAATAATGTTGGTTGTTTAGTTTTTAACTTTAAAAATTTTAAGAATTACTATTTTATTTTTACATGTTAATTTATATTGTGAAACTGTCGGTATCTCCACAACTTTTCAATTAAATAGAAAGTTCCAATCAAACAGGATACCGCGTGTGCTTACTGCTCATCAAGACAATGAATAATAGGAGTTATCAAACTATATATATATATATATTAGACTGCTTCATTTTGAGGTCATGAAAAAATTTTAAGTACCATGGAGTGTTATCTGCTGCGTTGACCCTTATTTTATTAGTAGAATTTTTTTTTTTTTTAATTTTGACCATTTTTAGGGGTTGCTCAAATGCCTCAAAAGTCATATTTTAGGCTTTTTTACCCTTTTTTAAGCCCATTTTTCGCACGTTTGAGCAAGTACTAAAACTCAAAAAAATTGAATTTTTTTTTTTCTAGAGTTTTTTCTAAGTTAGAATAAAAAAATTAAAATGCATGGTAATTTTATTTTATTGAAATAATTTGTGTAAATTTATCTACAAAAACGCAAAGTTATGCAATTGTTGCACTTCGCGTTAATTTAAAAATGTTGTGTATTTGCTTAAACATGTTGTGCAAATTACTTAACAAAAACGATATTTAATTTTGATTTAAAAACGCGGGAAATAAATATAGATTACTCTTATGATATACTTACTCCATATACTAAATAAAGCTATTTACTACCGATTTAATCATGTCAGGGAAAAGTAAGAAAAAAGTTGACACACATTTTTTGGTAAGGGAATCCAGGTCATCCTTACCAAAAGACAAGTTTGCTACAAAGCAAGAGGTTTTGCAATACTTCCTGCATTTGAAGGAGAAGTACCCAAAACAAAAAGAAAGTAGAATTATCCACTGTCCATTGACAAAAAACTTTGAAATCAGCTGCCATAATGAAAAACATATTTGCTGCACTCTTTCAAAGTTAATTACACCTTGGTTGAAGGGTGGATTTCAGATTTTACAATTACAGACAATTAGGTAGGTATCAGACTGTATATGTTTTTTTTATTTATATATTATTACTTATTAGCGGAAAATATTAATATAACTAATGTCTGCTGTTAAATAAGTTAATTAACAGAAATAGGTGTGTTGTAAAATATACCGAACCTATAAATCACATTTTTTAGTATAAAGATAGGGAAGCTGATCCAAACCTGGAAACTGTTAAAAAAAAACAAAGCAAGACAAACTTTATCAGAGATTGAAAAAAGGATGAGGTTTTTAACTCAGATGAAAAGTATCTTTTGGATTGCACCTGAGCTTGATACTCTGGTTGCAATCATTAAAGCTGATAGGAAACGAAAAGATCAAGACAAGACTGAAGATATTGCATTTTTATTAGACCAATTAGGAGATAGAAAAACTAGAATAGGTGGAATCGGTACAAGGTACCTTTACTCTGTAAACAGGAGTTTATCCAAAATTAAAAGGAAATCAAATTTGCATGAAACCATGTCAGAGAGTGAATTCAGCTCAAATGGATCGGAGAAAGATGAAGGTAATGATGATTTTTCATACCCAGATCCAGAGTTAAAGAAAAAAGTCAAAAAAACTAATACTGTTATGCTTCCAAAAGATATTCTCAAGAGAACTGCTGATACTGCTGTTGGGGAAGGAATAAGTCATAGGCAGCATGCTTCCATGATTAATTGTATAATCGCGAAATCGGGTTGAAATGTAGCTGAATTTAAATCTTCAACCTCTACAGCATTACGCGCTGCAGATAAGGTCATTCATGATGAATCAAAGAGGATCAAGGATGATTTAAGAAGTTTAAGAAAAATCAATAAGAACATTTTAGTTCAACTCCATTTTGATGGAAAAGTATGTCATGAATATACTGATGGGAAAAAATTGGAACAAGATCGATTAGCAATATTAATAAACGCTAACAAGGAAACGCACTTGTTGGGAATTCCACCCATTTCTTCTGGAACTGGCAAAAATCAAAAAAATGCAATCAGAGATATCTTAAATAGCTTTAACCTTACAGACAATATACAAGCTGTAACATTTGATACTAGCAGAATCAACGCTGGAAAAAAAAATGGAGCTGTATCTTTACTGGTAAATGAAGTCTTTCAACGACCAGTTCTATCTATTGCATGCCGACATCATGTCAATGAGCTACACATAACACATTTCTAGAAAAATTATCAAAGTAGCATTACTTCTGGACCAGATAATCTGCTTTTTAAAACTTTAAAATCAGCATGGAATGATCTTGACGCAGACAACCAGGTAGGTTTTTACAAAATTAGCTACTATTCTGTGAAATAATATTTTTTCAAAATAATTTTCTTTTTCCAATTTTGAGTTCTTTGAATATTTTTTTTACGTTTTGAATAAATAAGGTTTTGAGAAGATTGACTATTCCAGAGGAAACATGGCTTGGTCATCAAAAGCATGAAAGCATAACGTTCTGCAGAAATATTATCGCCAGTGGGTCTCTAAAAAAGGTAGCCAATAACTAGATATCTGAATTTGTAGGTATCTATGTAGTATGTACTTTTATGTTGAAATTTTTTCATAAATTTTTCTTTTTTAATTCTATTATTCTTTATTATACTAAAATATAAATAGGTTTATTTTATTATACCTAAATACTATTTATTTTATTTCATTTTTAGGATGGGGCTACAAGGAAGGACTACATTGAGCTGGCAGAGCTTACACTTATGGTGCTTTCTGAGGACAGGTATAAATTTCGTACTCCCGGAGCAGTCCACCATGCCCGCTTTATGGCAAAAGGTAAGGAATTGTAGGTTCATGATAAAAAAAGGTTCAAGTTGCAAAAAAAAGGAATTTGTTTTACATTATCAAGTATTAGTCTTTTTAAAAAATTAAAAAAAAAGACTTTTTTTTATAGGTATCTACTACCTAAAACTCCAACTTATGATGGATGCTATACCTAGTCTGGAAAAATGGCTGAAGCATGAAATTACTGAAGTGGCAACTTTTGTCTCTGTTTTCTATACTACCTGGTTTCTCAAAGCTGAACTATCTGCTGCTGCTCCGAATCAGGTAGGTACCAACTTAAAAAGTATGAAATATATATATATATATATATATATATATATATATATATATATATATATATATATATATATATATATATATATATATATATATATATGTGTATATATATATATATATATATATATATGTATATGTATATATATATATATATATATATATATATATATATATATATGTATAGATAGATATATATATATATATATATATATATATATATATATATATATATATATATATACATACAGGATATGAGAGCGCTTTGGCAAATGAATAGGTTTAAGGAGTTCAATTTGATTGGGGCAGAATCAGTCATTAAATCTATCAAACGCCACACATGGTTTCTGGACCCTTACCTTATTGTACTAGCTCTAGCTGATGAAAAATGTAAAGAAAGAGGTGATATTGCTCAAAAACTATACAGCTTTGAATTTCATAGTATGGATGAATATCCGTTAGCCCGAATAAGTGCTAACATAGAGGTCCTCAATTCTTTAGACTTCAGTGGACCGAAGCCTCCCAGCTTAGTTCATTTGGTCACAGAAAATTCGTGGCTATTGTTCCTTATGATAGGCCAAAGTAAAAGTGACTGTCAATGGATGAAAACCTCTCCAGAATATTGGACTTGCAACGATTTCTACTTAAAATTTCAGGAGGCAGTTTTTAATCTTTCAGTTGTTAATGATTGCTCGGAAAAATTCGTTAAACTCATAAAAGACAAAATTGATATTGCCCGAAAAGAAGAGAAAAGACAGGATTCACTTTTATTTTTGCATAATTACAAAAGGAAGTATGGAGGAAAAACTAAGAAATCCAAGAAAAACAAAAAAATAAACAATATAAAAATATAACATAACATTTTTAAAAAATAATTATAAACTTTATAGAAATTTAATTATAAAGAAATTTGTAAAACAAAATTGCTAGACGTTTTATTCAATATAATTAGATTTTTTTCGTTTCATGTAATTTAATGAAGTTTCTTGCAATATAATAAAGTTCATATAGACCTTTAATGCTATATATAGATGTTTTATGCAACATAGTTAGGTTTTTTTTTCCAAATGGCTTAACATATACATAAAGATGCGTAATATTCGGTTATTAATGCGTAATATTCGGTTAAAATCTGCATAACTTTGCGTTTTTGTAGATAAATTTACACAAATTATTTCAATAAAATAAAATTACCATGCATTTTAATTTTTTTATTCTAACTTAGAAAAAACTCTAGAAAAAAAAAAAATTCAATTTTTTTGAGTTTTAGTACTTGCTCAAACGTGCGAAAAATGGGCTTAAAAAAGGGTAAAAAAGCCTAAAATATGACTTTTGAGGCACTTGAGCAACCCCTAAAAGTGGTCAAAATTAAAAAAAAAAAAAATTCTACTAATAAAATAAGGGTCAACGCAGCAGATAACACTCCATGACACTTAAAATTTTTTCATGACCTCAAAATGAAGCAGTCTAATATATATATATATATATATATATATATATATATATATATATATATATATATATATATATATATATATATATATATATATATATATATATATATATATATATATATATATATATATATATATATATATATATCGTTTTATGTAGTGTTGTATTAAAATAATACACAACTCTTGTTCGTTGAAAAGTGCTCAATATTTAAGAAATTTATTTTGATTATATATAAATTTCATAACAGAGCGGTTTATAATTAAAAACGAAAAAAGAAAAAACTTTTATTATGGAACTTTAAGTTTCATGCCTAACAGCTATCATCTGTGGCGTAAAAGTGACGTAAACCAATCAGGATCAATTTGCGGTATCATAGGAGGAAATAAGAAATTTATTTTTGTGCCTACACTTCGTGATTATTTCACTCCTTGTGTTAAGTAGGTTTTTACCTTTATGCATTAGAATTTGAAACTTCTCGTTCAAACAGAGGTTGCACACTCTTGATGTTGGGTTGTATGGTTTGCAATGTTTAACAATTTTCCATCTGACAAAAGGTGTAAAGTTTTTTTCTTTTAATTTCCATATTTCTTTAGATAACTCTGTATCATTTTTATATCTAATTGAATTAAAAGATTTGAGGTGGTTTGCGTATCGAACTTTAAAAGATGTCTCGCTGAGTCCAAAATACACTTTTTCTTTGTACTCCGGATTGTTTGAACAAACGGTGGCTTGATAAACAATGTTGTTAGAAAGACAATTGTTGTTCATCAGACATTTGGATTTATCAATGCAGTTGCATGTCTTTTCATTAACTTTTGCTTCCTCATGTAACGTGTTTTTATTGTGAGAGTTTATAATGGATTTTATTTTTGTCATGCAGGAATAACTTATTTTGATTGTGTTTCTATTAAATATTTTACGGAGTCTGTGGTAAACTGGAAAGTGGTGGTCGATGAGGTTCAAAAAACATTTACCTATTTTTGTTACAACATTTGTACTGAAAGGAGGATTACACCAAATTATTTTACGTTTATGGTTGTTGTTTGAAGATTTTATACTTGGATGGTATGCAAGTTCGCAAGTGTGTCCAGATTTTTTCAGGGCTTCTTGATAAGGAGGAATACTTTCTTTAAAAATCGATTCACTTGACGATGCTGCTGATAATCTTAACTCAATGGTTTTAGGAACACTTTTTATTATACTCGGTGGGTGGTTAGAACTTGTATGTATGTAATTAAGTATATTATCTGCTTTGCGGTTGGGTTTAAATGAACCATCGTTAAGGTTTAGCGTTAAATCCAAATAATTAACTATTTTCAAATTACTTTTAATGGATATTTTCATCCATCTGCTTGTTAATGAAAAAAAGTGCTTTCTGTTAGACTTAATAATCCTGCAAAAAATGAGATTGGAAGAATTTCAAAATCTATTTTATCCAACATTAATTCCGAGCTGAGAAAGACACAATTTTTGAACCAATGGCAAAACACTCAAAATGTTATACACTGGTTTCAAACCATAAAAGAAAAACAATTCTGTAAGTTTTTAGTCTTTGATATTAATAATTTTTATCCATCGATTAATGAAAACCTGCTGAAAAATGCGTTATCCTTTGCAGAGCAACATCTAATAATAAATAGTGAGCAAAATAGTTTTATATACCATGCAAGAAAATCGTTATTATTTAGCAATGGAACTGCTTGGATTAAGAAAAAGGGAGGATTATTTGATGTCACTATGGGGGCCTTTGATGGCGCGGAGATTTGCCAATTAGTTGGTATTTTTATTTTACATCAAATCTCGCAGTTTTATGATAAAAATAATTTCAGTATATATCGAGATGACGGATTAGCTATATTTAGAAACAAAAGTGGTCGAGAAATGGAAAAGATAAAAAATTATTTTGTACAAATCTTTAAAAATAACAATCTTTTAATATCCATTAAAAGTAATTTGAAAATAGTTAATTATTTGGATTTAACGCTAAACCTTAACGATGGTTCATTTAAACCCAACCGCAAAGCAGATAATATACTTAATTACATACATACAAGTTCTAACCACCCACCGAGTATAATAAAAAGTGTTCCTAAAACCATTGAGTTAAGATTATCAGCAGCATCGTCAAGTGAATCGATTTTTAAAGAAAGTATTCCTCCTTATCAAGAAGCCCTGAAAAAATCTGGACACACTTGCGAACTTGCATACCATCCAAGTATAAAATCTTCAAACAACAACCATAAACGTAAAATAATTTGGTGTAATCCTCCTTTCAGTACAAATGTTGTAACAAAAATAGGTAAATGTTTTTTGAACCTCATCGACCACCACTTTCCAGTTTACCACAGACTCCGTAAAATATTTAATAGAAACACAATCAAAATAAGTTATTCCTGCATGACAAAAATAAAATCCATTATAAACTCTCACAATAAAAACACGTTACATGAGGAAGCAAAAGTTAATGAAAAGACATGCAACTGCATTGATAAATCCAAATGTCTGATGAACAACAATTGTCTTTCTAACAACATTGTTTATCAAGCCACCGTTTGTTCAAACAATCCGGAGTACAAAGAAAAAGTGTATTTTGGACTCAGCGAGACATCTTTTAAAGTTCGATACGCAAACCACCTCAAATCTTTTAATTCAATTAGATATAAAAATGATACAGAGTTATCTAAAGAAATATGGAAATTAAAAGAAAAAAACTTTACACCTTTTGTCAGATGGAAAATTGTTAAACATTGCAAACCATACAACCCAACATCAAGAGTGTGCAACCTCTGTTTGAACGAGAAGTTTCAAATTCTAATGCATAAAGGTAAAAACCTACTTAACACAAGGAGTGAAATAATCACGAAGTGTAGGCACAAAAATAAATTTCTTATTTCCTCCTATGATACCGCAGATTGATCCTGATTGGTTTACGTCACTTTTACGCCACGTGATACTCTTAAAACTTAAAGTTTTGTTTCCATGGAGTCATTAGAACTCACGCCACCGTAATTTTAATTGTAATTTTAACATCTATTTTAAATTTTGTAATATATGGCTGATGATTACCGTTAGGCATGAAACTTAAGGTTCCATAATAACAGTTTTTTCTTTTTTCGTTTTTAATTATATATATATATGTATATATATATATATATATATATATATATATATATATATATATATATATATATATATATATATATATATATATATATATATATATATATATATATATATATATATATATATATATATATATATATATATATATATATATATATATATATATATGTTGTAAAGATATTGTTATAAGGTAATAGAATACTATATAATATTGTATTACTATGTTTAGGAAGGGCACTGCAGTTGTCCTGCAGTTATGCAACTTATCAACCCATAACTGCGATAACTACAAGTTTTTTTAATAAGATTTTTATTATATAAATATTATATATTTTACAGAGTTTTAAAGAAAAGTTTTCTATTAATTGATACTATAGTTACTCAATGTACACTGTACTAATGTACAATCTTCTATAATCTATAAAACTATGGATTTATAAAGTTGTTAAATGAATGATTTATATGAATAGAATGAAGATGTTTATTGAGTTATTTTTATTATTTTTAGAAAAGAGATTGTACGACTTTAGTATCCGCAATACGGTATCGTGCATTGATTACCATCTTAGAATGGCTTCCTTCCGTATAAGTGGAAATAGGAAAGGTTATGTCCTTTTTTCTAATTCTTAAAACGAAGAGCCTAAATCGGTTTATACAAAGATGAAGATGATCATTATGGAGCCGATCATTATGAGGAATACGATAATGCATATAATAATAAATAAAATCATTTTACTTGTATCTTAAACTTATATGAATAAAAACTTATCTGTTTAATGTTTGATTTGTTTATGAGTATTTAGATAATGCGTTCAGCGTTTAACTTTTCTTTACAGTGCTTATTTAAAGCAGCTTAAATAAAAGAAGAGTTTGATTCGTTTGTCGGTATTTTTTATTTATATAAGCTTCTTTAAATAAGCGCCGTAAAATAAAATTTAACGTCGCGAAGTTTTAAACGAAAGATTAAGATGGAGTTTAAATAGCGTTTAAAACGAGCCATTTAGATATGGTTTAAATGGAACATTTGATTGACCTACGATCTAAATCGAAACTAAATTAAATCTAAACATTTAGAACGAACATTAACTAAACGTTGATTAAATGTTCGATTGCCCGTTGGGAATAGTATTTGAAATACAGGTAATAAGTTGTGCTGAATCGAATTACGGGGAACATTATTTTATTGTATATTTTATTCTTCGAACTTATCTCTTATAACAAATAGCTAACAATTTTACAACATCAATATTCTATACTTTTTTTAAAAATAAAATGGTACGACATATTGATTTTATAACAATAGAAAACTATGTAAAGGAAAAAATTTACCCTCAAGAATGTCATGGTGACAAAGGGAAAAAATCTAATCTTCGAAAAGCTAGAAAACATTTTAGCATTGTATGTGGTCACTTAATGTACCGCAGTGAAAAGTTAGTCATTGCTTGTAAAGATCAATAGCAAAAGATAATATATGACATTCATTCTGGTCTTAGTAAAGATGCAAAAGTAAAAGCAACGGCCTCACATCATGGAAGACATACAACATATCAAAAAATTTCTAACAAGTTCTATTGGCATAATATTAAATTCGAAGTTAAAGAATTTATTAAAAAATGTATGCAAGGTCAAAAACATGGTAAAATTAAAAGCGTCTCTACAGAACTTCATTCTATATCAGTTAAAAGTAAAGCCATGGAACAAGTTGGTATTGATATTTGTAACTTGCCAGAAGTTGATGGCTTTAAACATTTAGTTGTCTGCATAGAATTTTTTACAAATTGGTCAGAAGCAAAACCTCTTAAAAATAAAACAGCTGAATCCATAGCACTCTTCTTATATGAAGTAATCTCAACTCATCAACTTAACTCATTAACTCATCTTAAAGGAACTGGCATTTACATAAACGAAGATTTTGCCCAAGAAACTATCGAGCATCGAAGAAAGTTTTGGGAAGAAGTAAAAAAATTACGTAGCGAAGGTAAATACGTTATTTTAAAGTATGATAAAATTTTTAGTCGAGATTTTAAAAATACGCGCTTTCAAAAGTAACTTTACTCAAATCGAATTCTATTTTAAAAAAATTTGATTTAATTCTTTTTTCGTCATGGCTAATGATTTTATAACAAAAGATTTTGATAAGTTGCGTTTTGACCTTTTTAAAACTAAAAATAATATCTTTACGAATGGTTTATACGACGATGATTTATTTATTTTTAATGGACCTGACTCTCCATACATTGATACTAAAACTTTTAAAGCTGAACTTCATAACAATATAGACAAGTTTACGGTAATACACATAACTATTATATAATAACAATATATATAATAATAATATATATAATAACAATAACTGAAGAAAATATAATTGGGGCTATTTCAAATTTAAAATTAAAAAAATCTCCTGACTCTTTCGGTATCTCAGCAGAACATTTGAAATACGCAAAGTGCGATACTTTAACAAAATGGCTCATCAAATTTTTTAATTACTCCATTAGTTATGGATCGACTCTAATATCAATGTCGACGTCAACTATTGTATCCCTTGTTAAATCGTACAAAAAGTCTTTAGATAGCCCGAGCAATTATCGTGGTATTAGTAGTATACCAATTTTTACAAAGGTTCTAGAATACCTGATCTTAATTATATGTCCGGGTATTAGAGATACTCACTCCCTACAATTTGGATTCAATGCTAATTCTTCAACGCTACATGCTGAATTTCTAATAAGCGAAACAATTAAACATTACAACAGCAACCATTCCCCTGTGTATCTATGTCCTTTAGATGCAGAAAAAGCTTTTGATAGCTGTAACTGGAATAACCTATTTGAAAAATTATATTTCGATAAAAAATTACCACTATGTGTAGTTAACACTATCTCCTCATTGTATAACAATAGTAGCGCAACAGTCTCATATCAAGGTTGTAAATCAAACTCTTTTCCTCTAAACCAAGGAGTAAGACAAGGATCAATTCTTTCGCCTCCCCTCTATAATATTTACACTGAAAGTCTTCTCGAAACTATTAAAAATCAGGGTATTATTGGCACATCTATAAACGGTAACTTTACTGGTGTGGTAGCCTATGCGGATGATATAATACTTTTAAGCTCTACTTTATCTGGTCTCAAAAAGCTTATAAAAACATGCAATATTTACAGTAATCTAAATTGTATTAAACTGAATGCCGAAAAGACTGAGTTCTTGATCTCAGGTAAAGCCCAAATACAAACTAATACAAAAACAATTTCTGGTAATAAAAAAAATCTTCAGAATAAACTTAGACATCTAGGATTCACATGGGATACTAAACATTCAGTTTTTGCTTCACTCGGTTATTCAAATGTTGATGAAAAAATATCATAGAAAACGTTTTTAAGCAAAGTCATCCAAAATAACTTTCTTATTTTTTTCTTTTTACCTTGTAAATTGGGTGTTAAATAAATAAAATAATAATAATAAACATCAGGAGCCTAAATACAAATATCGATAAGTTAAAAATTTTCCTTTTCGAATGCAAATATTTCTTTAGCATGATTTGTCTTACAGAAACTTGGTGTTCTAACGAAAATTCTTATACAAATTCAAACCTCCTAATCCCTAATTATAATCTTATTTCTTATGAAAGAAAAGCTAACAAAAGAGGAGGTGGAATAATAACCTACATTCATAATGACTTAAACACAAAAATTAGAAATGATCTTTATATTTCTGATTCAAATAGTGAGGTCTTTACAGTTGAAGTCATTAATGATACTACAAAAAATCTCTTAATATTCTCTTGTTATTAACCGCCCGATGGAAATATTATAATATTTTCAAGTTTTATGAAACAAATATATACAAAAAGCAATGTTGAACATAAAAAGCTATTCTGTGTTAATGACATGAACATAAATTACCTAAGCTATCATGAACACGCTAATAATACCAAAATAATACCAAAATTTTTTTCGATGATATGATACAGCATTACATTTTCCCAATTAGAAACAAACCCACCCGGGTATATGGGATTACCCGGGTGATCAAACCCACCCGGGTAACTTCCACCTCAATTACAGCTATTGACAATATATTGACAAATTCAATTCAAGATCCATCCTTAAAAGTAGGAATAACTAAAACGGATATATCTGACAACTTCCCAATTTACTTCTCACTATCACAACAAGCAACACGTGTCGATAACTTGAAAATAAAAATTATCAAAAGAAGCATAAATAAATTCTCGACCCAAAAACTAATAGACTCACTAGCGGCAGTAATTTGGTCAAAAATAAATCATGAATGTAACCTCGGACGCACAAATTCCGCTTACAATAAGTTTATAAAAATTTTCCTAAATCTCTACAATAAAGATTTTCCAAAGGTCGAAAAAGAAATTAAAGAAAAATATCTAACCACTCCATGGATTACGGAATAAGGAATAAGAAAATCGTCAAAAGGAATAAGAAAGGGAAAAAGGAATAAGAAAAGGAAAAAGAAAAAGAATAAGAAAATCGTCAAAACAAAAACAAAAACTCTACATAAAATATCTAAAAAATAGAAACGATATTAACTTGTCTAAGTATAAACAATATAAAAATCAATTTGAAAAAATAAAATTAAAATCCAAAAAACTTTATTTTTTAAAGGAGATAATAAAAAAATCTGGGATATTATAAAAGAAATAATTGGTAAAGATAAAAAAAACTCGAACCAACTACCTCCAAAAGTTCTCATAAGTGAAAAAGAGTTTAATAATAAAAAAATTATCTCTGAAAAATTTAACAAATACTTTGCAAGTATAGGTTCCAAACTCGCCTCTAAAATTCAACCTACAAACATTTCATTTGAGAATTACATTGAGGACTCTTGTTGCTCCCTAGTTTTTAAAGAACTAGAATACGAAGAATTTGAAACAGCAATTAAAACATTAAAAATTAACAAAAGGTCAAGGTATTATTATTTCTTCCCAGAAATAAATAAACTCATTTTTCAAATATTTAACTCTTCAATAATTACAGGAATTGTACCCGACTATTTAAAAATAGCTAAAATTATTCCTATCTATAAATCCGGAGATACATCTTCCTTAAATAATTACAGACCAATATCAATCCTTCCCGTGTTTTCAAAACTGCTCGAACAAATAATCTACAATCGTTAATATAAATACCTAACCACAAACAAAATCCTGAATGAAAACCAATATGGTTTTTAAACTCAGCACTCGACAGAGCATGCTATCGTAGACCTTGTCAATAGGATTAGTGAATCAATCTATGAAAAGAAGTTCGTATTAGGAGTCTTTGTAGACTTTTCAAAAGCGTTCGACACAATAAATCATGAAATCCTACTAAAAATGTTGGAAAAATACGGATTAAAAAACCATACTCTGCAGTGGTTTAAAAGTTACCTGTTTAACAGACAACAGTTTTTTATTACAGATGATAATTACCACAGTAAATTATTAAAATTAACTTGCGGTGTTCCTCAAGGTTCGATTCTTGCTCCTCTTTTGTTCCTAATCTATATAAACGACCTTCCAAAAGTTTATAATGTTTACAGACGATACAAATTTGTTTTACTCTTCGACAAACATCAAGGATCTGTATGATAATGTAAACATAGAACTCCAAAAATTAAATATATGCTTTAAAACAAATAAGTTATCCCTAAACATAGACAAAACAAAATACACTTTATTTCACTCAAACCAACAAAGAAACACACTACCAAATATTCTACCTTCTCTAAAAATAGAAAATATAGTAATTGAGAGAACTCGCAAAACTAAATTTTTAGGAGTTAAAATTGATGATAATTTATCTTGGAAAAGTCATATAAATGCTTTAAACACTAAAATATCAAAAAACATAGGTCTACTTTATAAAGCAAAACCTATGCTGTCGCAAAGTAATTTAAAACTTATATATTTCTCTTTTGTACATAGCTACCTCATATATGCGAATATAGCTTGTGTGAGTACGCATATAACCAAATTGAAAACTTTATATCGACGTCAGAAACATGCTGTAAGAGTAATCTACCATAAAGACAAATTTACACACCCTGAATTCTTATTTAAAGAAATGAATGTGTTTAACATTTATCAAATTAATATTTACCAAAATATATTGTTTATGCTAAAATTTATATTTGGTCAAGTACCAAACCATTTTTTAAATATCTTTTTTATAAATAACCTTAATAAATATAACACAAGAGAAAAAGGAAACTTTATTACACCTTTCAAAAACACAAAACTTTCCCAATTCTCAATTTCATATCGGGGTCCTTATTTATACAACAAACTAGTAACTAAAAATAAATCAATTTGCAATCTAGATTCAACTTGCAATCAAAATTCCTTGAAAAAAAAGTTAAAATATCTGATACTGAATCTAAACAGATACTTAGAATTCTTCTAAGACTATAAATTAAAGTATATATATATATATATATATATATATATATATATATATATATATATATATATATATATATATATATATATATATATATATATATATATATATATATATATATATCAACTACAAAGTGAACTGACGTTTATGTGTATTATCTAAATGACTCTTACCTTTTCTCAAACAATATATTAAAAATTGTTTATTACACACAAAAAAAACACTTGATTTTTTCTTATCAAGTTTAGTTATTATGCTGCTTGTTATGTCTAATATTTTATACTGAGCTTATTTTGAGTTTACTTTTTATTATGAGCTTAATTTAAAGAATATATAAATATAGTTGTTTTTAATATATAATTATATTTAACATAATCATAATATATATCAAACACATTATAAGGGCTTCGTGATAAGATCATTACGATCTTCTTGAAGTCCGGCCTGTACTATTTTATTATAATCTGTTGACATGGGTGCATTAAAATTCAAATTAATGATCAAGGAAGAGAGTTTGCGAATAAAGTAAGCAAAAATCTGCATGCAATGACAGGGACTGAACAAAGGGCAACTTCTGCTTATCATCTCCAATCTAATGGACTGTGTGAACGTCAGAATAGAGCCATAAAAGAAGCATTAGTTAAAGTTTTCGATGAAACAGTTGCTGAATGGCCTTATATTATTGAAGAAATTTATTTGCACGTCGTGTTAGTAAGCACATTTTAACCCAGTATTCACCTTTTTTTTAATTATATAACCGAGAACCAACTTTACCTGTAGATATTAAATATGGATTGGTTGATATAAATATAAAAAATCAAAAGTTATACATAATAAAAAAAGTTATACAAATAAAAAAATTAAAAGTTATACATTTCCTTTGTGCTTTCATTGATAAAAATCTAACATGGAAAAACCATATCGAAATTTTGCGCAATAAAGTTTCCAAAAAAATTGGAGTAATGTGTAAAGCGAAAAATTTTGTAAATAGACATTCATTAATTCAACTTTATCCCTCGCTAATTTAATGCCATATAAACTATGCAAATAATGCATAGGGTAATACTAATAAAATTCAATTAGATACTCTATATCGGGAACAAAAGCATATAGCACGTTTAATAAACTTTAAAGATCGTTATACTCATGCGAGACCTCTTTTATTGGAAATGAATGTTCTTAATATATACGAGCAAAATTTTTTTAATGTTCTTTTATTTATGTACAAATGTAAGATAAACCTAACCCCTATATCCTTTCAAAATTTATATGCAGTAAAACAAAAAAACAAATACGACTTGAGAAATGACAATCTTATTCATTAACATTATTCTCATACAAGTTTTGGAAGATCTCTTTTAACATATCGCGGAGTTCTTCTGTGGAACAAAATAGTTTTGAAAAATTTTGATTTTTCTCAAAGTTTGAGTTTTCTTACTTCTAAAATTAAACTGAAAAAAGTTATCTTGTCAATTGTCAATTAATCTTTTAAAAAAGTGTTTGATTCCTGAATATATTGTTTTATTTTGAAATTATTTAGTTTTATATATATTCTTTATGTTGTTTAACGTTATTTTATGTTTTGAAATATCTGGTTAGATTTAAATTTTATTTCTAAACGTCATTTATTGTAATTATTTAACTGATTGCATTTTTACTGCATTGTTAAACGGTTCTCAGTGACAGGATCTTACGATCCTCTCCGTGAGTCTCCGTGTACTGATATATAATGTACAACGGTATTTATACCATAGTATATTGTAATTAGAACAAAACAAAACAAAAAAGATATTAAGGAACATGAAAAGATATTAAGGAACATGAACTATTTGATAGAGAAACTTTTAATGCAGTTCTTGTCTCATCTATTACTTTAAGGTGGAAAACCCCTCAGAAATATGAAATTTTTGAAAAAAAAAAATGTTTTCTTTTTTTATGCAAAATTTATCACAGATTCACAATCTGAAAACCATTTTTAAAAATTCGCTATAGATCTTCATTAAAATAGATTTTATTGAACCCTAGTATTGAAAGCTTCCTTAACAACCGCCATAGCAACGACACTATTTTTTACCTTTACTAAAAAATAGTCCAAAATCCTATTTTTTTATATGAAAAATATATCTTGTCAAGTAAATTATATTTAAGCCACTGTTCAAAACAACTTTAGTATAAAAACAGTTACTGGAAAGCTCATAAATATATCATAAATCTTCTACAATGGCTAAGGCTTGCAGAGTTAAACAAAGAACTAAAAATCATAAAAGGAAAAAAATATTTAATGTAAAAAAGAACTTAGTTGTAAATAATGTTGATATGGATGTAAATATGGAATCGAATATTGTAGATATGAATATAAATGTTATTACAAGTGTTGAAGATGTAAATGTAAATATGGAGAAACCAGTTGATCTTAACTTTATTAATTCTAATGAAATATGTGCTTCTGCTAGAAAAATAAAAAAAATTTCGTCATCGCATCCAAAGGTATCTAGTAATATAGTTACTGGATACCGTTTTATAGATTTAGAAATACTAAATTCTATAGTTTCTACCCTTAGATGTCCAGAATGTATGTCATCTAAGTTGTTTCTCTCTGAAAATGAAAACAAGAGAAAAGGTCTAGCGTCTTGTCTTTATGTTAACTGCTGTGTGTGTGATTATTCAAGAGAATTTTACACCTCAACATTGAATATACAAAAAAGTTTTGATATTAATACCAGGGCTGTATATGCTATGAGATCATGTGGTCAAGGCTATTCTGGATTCTCAAGATTTGTCTCATTAATGGACATGCCTAAACCAATGACTGCTTATAATTATAATAAAATTGTTATAAAACTAACTAATGCAGTAAAATCTGTAGCTGAAGATACTATGATGGATGCTGCTCAAGAGTTAAAAGACTTGAAGAGTAATTTTATTTTAAATTCTATTCCAGACCATGTGCTCAATGTTATTGATGTTGCAGTATCATGTGATGGCACTTGGCAGCGACGAGGCTATTCTTCAAACAATGGTGTTGTTTCTGTTATTTCGATGGAAACAGGCAAAGTAATAGATGTTGAAGCTATGAACAAGTTAAGTATACAATTTGGTTGTTTTGTTTAGGTTTGCATATATGCATATATATTATATTGTATATATTCATATATATGTTTGTGTGTATGTAAACACCCACCTAATTTATATATATATATATATATATATATATATATGTATATATATATATATATATATATATATATATATATATATATATATATATATATATATATATATATATATATATATATTACATACTAGAAAGATTGTTATTTTTTAATATATGGAAATCTACTTGATGTTTCATACTTTAATATTTTTTCATCAAAATATAGGTATGTAAAGCATGTAACATACTTCAGATTTTAATATTTTTTTATCAAAATATAGGTATGTAAAGCATGTTTTCATAAAGAACATCTAAAGAAAGGAAACCCATTAGCCTATGAAATATGGCATGATAAACATAAATGTACTTTTAATTACCAAGGACTACCTGGTGGAATGGAGCCAGAGGGAGCCCGCAGAATATGGGGTAGATCTATCGAAAAACATAATCTACGATATACTGATTTCTATGGCGATGGTGATAGCAAAGGTTATGATGATGTAAAAAATATTTATCAAGGTGTTCTTGTAAATAAACTTGAATGTGTTGGCCATGTGCAAAAAAGAGTTGGAACACGTTTACGTAATTTAAAAAAAAAAGAAAAAGGTCTTGGTGGTCGTGGAAAATTGACCGATGCAACTATCGATCGTCTCCAAAATTATTATGGCATTGCAATTCGCCAAAACAAAAATAATTTAAGTGCTATGAAATCTGCTATAAGAGCTACACTTTATCATGTTGCTTCATCAAAAAATTTACATTTTCCTCACTGTCCAGAAGGTTCAAATAGTTGGTGTCGGTATAATCGTGACAATAGATATTGGTAAGCCTGGTCCTGGCTTACCAATATCTATTGTTTGGAAACTTAAGCCAATTTATGATGAATTAAGTGATGACATTCTTTTAAAAAAATGTCTGCATGGCCTTACCCAAAATAACAATGAGTCTTTTAACATGACAATATGGGAGTGTATACCAAAAGGCCATTATGTTTCGCTTACGCATCTTCAATTTGGCACTTTTGATGCAGTTGCCCATTTTAACATTGGTAGACAAGCTAGTGTTTTAGTTTTAGAAAAAATTAATTTAAGACCTGGAAAGTATTTGTTAGAAGGATGTAGGAAAATTAATCAAAAGCGATTATACTTAGCCATATATAAAAACACAGAACGAGCAAAGAAACGCAGACAAGTAATTCGTGGAAAAAAGAAAAGTCGATATGACAAATCTCTTGAAAAAGAGCAAAAACCTATATATAATAAAAAATATTTTATTATATATAGATTTGCATATTTAATAACACTATTTTTGAATTTTTTATGTTGGCATTTTTAAAAGCTGTTTTTCTCAGATAAAGGGTTTTTAAGACGCCGGCCAGTATATCTAAATAACTAAAAGCGGTGTTAAGCTAAAATTTTAAGTATAAATTTGTTTGATTGTCTTCTGTGATTTAAGCGCGACAGATTTTTTTAAAAATTGAATCCAGTCCTTAAAAAGGTCAACAAAGTTATAAAATTTGGTCAAATTTTTTACATGTATTTCGGTCGAATATATTAGCCTATTAAAAATTATTATGAAAAATCTGCTTCGCTCATATCACAGAATTACCTTGTTAGAATAAGTATGCAAAAAAGATTTTGTTAAAACTGTGTACATCTTTAGATACGTTGGCCGGGGTCTTTCAATATTTTGGTATTTTTGGCACCTGCTACAGCTACCATTGTGCCCAAAAAAATTTTTTTTTTGTTTTTTTTAGTTAATTTTGTTATTTACTTTATGTATATGAAGTTAAATTTATAAAATATTGATATTTACTCAAAAAAAAATTTTCAGGGGTTTTCCACCTTAAGAGAAGAAGTTCACAAAAGTGCATACAAAAATATTCAAACTGCTCAAAATAAGTAGCGCAAAGACTACAATAAACATCATCAAGTACCTCTTTTTATTGGAGATGGTCAAAAAGTCCTTTTAAAAAATCAAAAATAAATGGATAAAAAAGGATAAAAATTTTCATTTATATGGCTTGGTCCATACACTGTTCGTTTCATTTCTAAAAACAACCTGTGCTGTTTGGTTAACCAAAAGGGTAAGATTTTAAAGACAAAATACAATGTCACTTTGCTCAAATTTTTTGTTGATTATAATAAAAAACCATTGCATGATAAAATATTGAATTCTTGTATTAAACTGAAGAGAACATTACAAGTTTATGGTGCATGTTATCTGATGAAGTTGTTAAAATGATATTTACAAATGCAGTCAGACTTCGAACAATGTTACGGAAACATATTATTCATTGAGTTGTACGTGCATTAGATTTAATGAGATTTTGCAACAGAAAAAGAAGTTTCTTCTTCCTCGTATTTTCCTTAAATTCAGAGATCATAAGTTTTCAAGTTTAATGCGATATAAAAATATAATAAAGGTAAGTGTTCAAAGATTATTGAAGATATTTGGATCCTGTAGCGCAGTCGCTACCAGCTTTTACAATATTATTAATGATAGTAAACGGAAATTAGAATGGATTGTTTTTCTGCACAAATAACAATATGTACAGAAAAACTCTCTTGATTTACAGTTGAGCGAATATTTTGGAAATCACATCAGACAAATGCAAAAGAGGAGTTAAAACCTGAACCCCCATGGTTAGATTTCCCAAATCTTTATTATCTTGAAACAGGAGATAAATAGATTTTGTTAAGTCATAACTCCTGGCTAAATGATAGCATCATGGATGCTGTCCAAATGTTCATTTGTAAACAGCTGGGGCCAAATGCAAAATTCCAAATGGTACTAAATGTTCAAATAGTCCATACCAGCAAGTCAATAATGAACACATTCAACTTATGCATTATGGCTCGTGTCATTTGTTTTTTACATTTTGCTCAAATATAAAAGTCAATATTTGTGATAGTCTTTATACATCACAGAACCTTGTTTTTTTAAAACGTGTTAGTTCTTTATATAAAAATAATGCTGATAGTAATGGAGATTTACTTATAAATTTTCTTCCTGTACAAAATCAGACTGACGATAACAGTTGCGGCCTGTTTTCCTGTAGGAAATGTAGTTTACTTGCATAAAAATCTTTTTAAAAATGTTTTTTTTTTTTTTACTTGGGCATTTTTGTGTGTATTTTTAATATATATATATATATATATATATATATATATATATATATATATATATATATATATATATATATATATATATATATATATATATATATATATATATATATATATATATATATATATATATATATTCATATATCTATATAAGAAATTTTGGAACATATATATCCATATATATCCAGGGCTTTATCTATTTATATATATTATATATAGAAGTTTTAATAGTTTAAGCGATTGAAGAAGAGAATTTTGAATTTCGTTTAGTTAAACTATTAGAGTTTTTAAAGAACCATTTTGAAATTATTATATCATTATTGCAAATATCAACGTTTAGATATTTATTGATACTAATGTCTTAAATAGGTTTAATACATTTTTATTATTATATTCGTATATTGTGAAGATCTTGTTTTTGAAAAAATATTTAATATCTTTAAATATTTTTTGCCTGTTTTTAAATGAGTTTGAATCTGAATAAAAAATATTAAAGTCTTGGAGGCTAATTAAAAAATCTTTATTGGTGTTTTTTTTAGGCAATAACTTAAAGAACTTTTAAATATAGATAATCGATAAATAGTTCCGGAGGAGCGACCTTCGGAAATTTTGTTGAAAATCCAGAGATGAATATTTAGTTGTAGAAACCTTTTTTTTTTTTGCTGTTTATATAAATTACAAGGATTGTTAGGAACTATTTCAGGTTCTTTATGGATCCTAACTTTAAAATGTATTCTTCAGTAGAAACTCTGAGGTTTTTGGAGAAATCTTTGAAAAACGGCTGCTTCACCTGCGCGACTCTAAAAAACCCATTGAGGTTCTATGAAGATCCGTTACATTTAAGAGTGTGTACCAAATACTTTGAATAAGCCTTTAAATAAGTAATTTAATTTATTGAATATCATTAGGGGAGTACTTGTTTCCTAATGAAGTACCTATTTCCTAGTAAATAAACACTCCCTGGAGTACTTATTTACTAGGAAATGAATACTCCCGGGGTCAATGTTATAAAACTTTTTATCGGCGTAAAATGCTAGCGGCTGTAAATTTTATCGGCGTAAATGATTTGTTTCAATGTTATAAAAGTTTTTTCAAAATCGTTCACTCTGAAACGTTTACAGTCGATAAATGTTCCATAGGAGCGACTTTCGGAAATTTTGTTGAAGATCCATAGATGAATATTTAATTGTAGAAGCCCTTTTTTTTTGCTGTTTATATAAATTACAATTTCCTTTCACCAAAAATAAAATATAATTACGAATGTACAAGTAATAAACAGTCAGGGGCTCAAAAAAGATATAGATGGCAAAATACCAACCTAATCTTTTCATAGAGCCCCTACAGATCTCAGTTCATGAAATCTCGTATTTCATCACAAAAATTAGGCTCTCGTGACTTCTGGAGAATCTATAATAGTATCAATAATAAGGGCAAGTCTGTAATTCCACCTCTTTTGTACGGTTCAGACTTTGTCACCTCACCTAAAGACAAAGCTGAATTGTTTGCCAAGAACTTTTCATCAATATCATCTCTTGATTTCACTGTTTGCGTTTTACCTGATATAGCCGTCAAACAGGTTGATCCACTGCTTGACATTCGTATCACTCCAGCTTCTGTATCTAAAGTGATTTCTCGCTTAGACTCTTCTACAGCTTGCGGCCCGGACAACATACCTGTTATAGTCTTGCAGAAGTGTTCTCCGGAGCTGTCGTCTATCCTTTCAAAGCTATTTAACAAGTGCTTATCAGAGTCTTGTTTTCTAGCCTGCTGGAAACCAGCATCTGTTATCCCTATTTTTAAAAATTCTGGAGAGCGATCTGATTCGTCTAACTACCGTCCCATTAGTCTTCTTCCTATCATATGCAAAGTTTTTGAATCCTTAATTAACAAACACTTAATCTCTCATCTCGAATCTCATAACCTACTTTTTGATCATCGTTATGGATTTTGATCTTCTCTTTCTACAGCTGATTTGCTAACAGTAATAACCGATAGGTTTTATCGCGTATTAGATAAAGGTGGAGAGGTTAAGGCCATCGCTCTTGACATTTCTAAAGCGCTTGATAAAGTTTGGCATGCTGGTCGTCTCCATAAGCTTTCTTCTTACGGTATATCTGGAAACATCTTTAAGATTATCGAATCCTTCCTTTTCAATCGTAGTATAAAAGTTGTCCAGTTTATATTTTTATAAAGTATATATATATGTTATATATTTTATATAACTTCCAACACTAATTAGTGGTTGCCTGCAGCCTTGTTGGAAGCGAAGATGTTAAAAAAAAAAAAAAAAAAAAAGATCATAACAATAATATATGGTATTATATCGTTAATAAATCAAGTAGAAAATTTAGGAAAAAAAAAAAGAAATAGTATAAAAGAAGATATAATATTTAAGAACAAAAATAGAGAAAAAAGAAGATGTATCAATTAAAAGTGAAAACACCCTCAATTAGTCAAAAAAAGAAGATATAATATTTAAAAATACATATAGTGAGTAAAGAACATATAGTAATATATATATATATATATATATATATATACATATATATATATATATATATATATATATATATATATATATATATATATATATATATATATATATATATATATATACATATATATATATATATATATATATATATATATATATATATATATATATATATATATATATATATATATATATATATATATAT